GTCCAGGTATATTGAACTCCCTCCGTTTTCGGTACGTGGAGGTGCTTGATTACTACAGACATTAGGTTTAGGTTTGTATTGTAAACTTTGTGCGGCTTCGTTGTCCGATTTGTTGTTCTCTGTGGATCAGTAATTATAAAAAAAATCGACCTTTTTGGAATGTGATTTTGTTTTGTTGGCGCTGGTAGGACATTTGTCACATCTTGTTTTGTCAACTTATCATAAATTAATCCCAGGGCTTAGTCTTTTGGCCGGATGATTTATCGTAGTGCTTCAGAGAAAAAAGGAGTATAATGTTTTGTTTGCTTGTGGAATTAGTGCTGTGTTTTGTTATCCATCTAGAACCACCAACGATATATCAGCCTTGTTATTTTGAGATAGTTTAGGACAGTTCTTTTCGATTATAAACTGTTGGACACAGTTTTCACCATTTATATTGATTTCATGAGTGTTGTCTTACTCTTAACCTGTTGCTAAATAGCTATTTCATTTGATTGAAGGAAATTGGCAGTTCAGTCTGCTACATCAGCAGTTTGTCAAAGTGGAGTGTGTGACGTCTATAACTTATTTTATGTCTGAACGGGCCACTCTCTTTTTGTCGTCGATTGGATTACTCGGTGAATATTGTCCTACATCTAGAAAAAAGAGTAGAGCTGCTGCTGTTGAATTTGGATGCATGCATTTTGGATTATTAGAGGAGAGTAACACACATTTCCTTGGTTGCCGGTTTATGCAACCTTTTCCAATTGCAAGGAAGTTGTCTGGTAGAGGAGGATTTCTTGTGTCAGGAGACAATACCATTCTGATATAATCCATCATCTTTGTCACACCCTTAAGGATGGCTCTACAAAACATTGGTGCTTCAAACCGTGATGATGCCTTCTACAGGTATAAGATGCCGCGGATGATTACTAAGATTGAAGGAAGAGGAAATGGCATTAAGACTAATGTGGTCAACATGGTTGATATTGCAAAGGCCTTGGCTAGACCTGCTTCTTATACTACTAAGTATTTTGGCTGTGAGCTTGGAGCTCAATCGAAATTTGATGAGAAGACTGGGACTTCCCATGTGAATGGCGCTCATGACACTGCGAAGCTTGCTGGACTTCTCGAGAACTTCATTAAGAAATACGTGCAGTGCTATGGTTGTGGGAATCCTGAAACTGAAATAATTATCACTAAGACACAGATGCTCAATCTCAAATGTGCTGCATGTGGTTTTGTGTCTGATGTTGATATGAGGGACAAGCTTACTACTTTTATCCTCAAGAACCCTCCAGAGCAGAAGAAGACAGCTAAAGAAAAGAAAGCCTTGAGGAGGGCTGACAAAGAGCAGCTTAAGGAAGGGGAAGCTGCTGATGAGGAGCAAAAGAAGCTTAAGAAGGAGGCGGCAAAGAAGAAGGCAACAACTGGTTCTAAAGCATCAAGCAAGAAGAAACCCTCTGGTTCTGATGAGGATCGCTCCCCCACTCACAGCCAGGGAGATGAGAATGACCAAGCTGCTGAAGATGACGATGATGATGTCCAGTGGCAGACAGACACTTCATTGGAGGCTGCTCGGAAGCGAATCCAGGAGCAGTTGAGTGCGGTTACTGCTGATATGGTCATGCTTTCTACCACTGAAGAGGAGAATCCTGAGACCAGGACCCATCAGAATGGTGCTGACAAAAATACACATGGGAGGCTCGTTAATGAGATAAAACAATGCCTGCAAAAGGGGACTTCTGCTGCCCAGTTTAAATCCTTTTTGGTTACCCTTTCTGGCACGCCCCAAGAGATTATGGATGCCTTGCTTGAAGCTCTTTTCGAAGGCGTTGGAAAAGGGTTTTCTAAGGAGGTTTCTAAGAAGAAAAACTACCTGGCTGCAGCAACCCAGGCGGAGGGGTCCCAGATGGTTCTATTGCAAGCTATTGAGTGTTTCATTGGGAAGGCAAACCCTGATGCTGCAAAGGAAGTGGCTTTGGTCCTGAAATCACTGTATGACGCCGATGTGCTGGAAGAGGAATTCATTATGAAGTGGTACCAGCAGGGCTTAGGCGGCATGAACAAAAGCTCCTTGATCTGGAAGAATGCCAAGCCCTTCATCGAATGGCTCCAGAGTGCTGAGTCGGAGACAGAGGAAGAGTGAGTGATGTGGGATTTCTCTTTTATATCGGTATTTTTAAATCACTATGAGACTGTTAAGAGAATTAGTTGTGTCTTGGAATAAAGGGGAGTCACTGGACCTTCCTGTATTCTCACCCTCTGCTTTTCTTTGCTGTTGTTATATTTGGTGGTGTTTTAGTCTGTTTGACCAACTATTGTTCTGTCAAGGGATATTGGTTTTCTTTTATGAGGTTTGGTTAATGCATTTGTCTTATATGTGGTATTTTCTTTTTGGCCTTTTCTGAGACGGAAACACTTTTATGAGGTTTGGTTAATGCATTTGTCCTTTCGGCACCGCTAAAGTGTTTCCGTCTCAGAAAAGTGTTTTCTGGAGAAGCAACTGGTGCTTCCAATCATTCTGCGTCTTATTCCTGAAGAAATGTTGCTATGTTACTACGGCATTTTTTTATAATAAAAAATTCATTGCTCGAGTCTTCTTAAATAAAGGGAACTACAGAGGAAAGAAAACGCTGTTCTGGCCACGGTTAATTTGTTATTATAGTTGAAGGGTTGGAAACTCTTTTCTTTTCCATCTGGAAAACATCATGGTATTCGACACTTAATTATGTGATGTTTGAATATGTGGTGACAACGTTATTGTATTGTCCAATTGTTCTACCCTTAAAAGCAATGCTAAGTTAGCAAAAGACCTACTAGTGCAGTGGTTTGAATCAATTAATCCCCTAAGGGAAGGTTCGAGTCCTAACATGTGTTTGAGTTAAGTATACTATAGTTTCTCTCAATAGGAAATGTCCACACAAAAAAACGATGCTAAGTTAAACTGAAACAATCTCCCACTAAAGTGCAAAGCCCAAATCATTGAAGGCAAAAAAAAATGATGCTAAGTTACAAGAATTCTGTAGTGAGGATCTTATATATGTCCCTTAGGTGAGGCTTTATCTTAAATTGAATAGCTGTTGAATCAAATTGGTAGTCCGATCCAACAATTAAAAATTAATCTAAATATTAAAAGATATGACTTCACCTAAATGTCGTATATAATGCCCTCACTATAGTTAAACTAAAACAATCTCCAACTAAAGTGCAAAGCCCAAATGAAGGCTTTTTTTTGACAAACATGAATACCTATTAGAGATATTTAGTGATATACCCGTTCTCATCACTAATATTATAGATAAATTATATACCATTGAATTTTTATAAACAAACAAAAAAAAAAAAACCCCCCCCAACAAATGACAGCTGACCCTATTGAATTTAAGTTTGATTATTAAATTACTTTGATACCCTATTGAGTAGTTTGAGTTTTTTATGAGGTTTTAAGGTTGGGCTTGTTTTAATAAATTAATGACAGTTTTGTAATTTATAAGAAGTTAAAAGCCTCTTTGTTATGTTGTAAATGAGCTTTTAGTATGTTTCTAAAGTCCATTTAATATATGGTATTTTTATAATTTGGGCCCCTATATTGAATATAATAGTAAATCTCCATAATTATTTATCCCGTGGGCCAATAATAGTAGGGGTTTATTTTGTTTTTGGTCTGAATAATAGTAAGGGGTTTCATTTTGCCAAAGTTTGAAATGGGGACGGAGAAAAACTAGCACACACGACTATTTGGGACAATATCAAAGATTTGGGTCAATCTAACTAGCACCGTGTTGATAGACCCCCATAACTATTTAGGAATACACCAAAAATATGAGTCAATCCAACTAGCACCGTATTGATTGAAAAATAAAAGAGGGTGAAAATACTATAGGATAATGCATGGTTTAAATTCACAATCTAATTACCTGCAACGTTATTTGACAAAATAAGCACATCTGTGTGGAACAATTTTCTCGCTTCGGACTTCGGTTTTGCATTTGGTCCAATTGGAGTTGTTAACAGCTATTATTGTCAAAATCATCAAGAAGACAAGGCGCAACGCCTGGCTAAAATAAATTATTTTCTTTAATCCAATAACTCCCCAAGTTCCGAAAAGCGTTTAGTAATATATTATGCTTCTTAACACCAAGTTTTCCAAACTAAGTACATAAACTAATCTCAAAATGTGCTTCTTAAACTTGATCACACACACTTCCAATTTTTTGTATAGGTCGATGTGGACTGGTCACCTACCTTTGTTAAAACCTTGGTCTTATTTTGTTTTTTTGCCCGATTAGGGTCAACTTTTTGTCTGCAGCTACAAGAGACCAACAATGACAGTCATGTCACTGTAAATGACAAAACAAGGACAACAAATTGGCACTTGTGTCACGACACACAAGTCCAAAGTCAAAAATAAAATAAATTGGGATTTTAATAATAAATGATGCTAAAACTAGCAATAATCTAAAGTTATATAAATTTATTTGAATAGTTGATGTGACAATTTGTAAAATAATTTATTTTTCTTTTAAATTGTAGTACCAAAGAAAAAACAAGCTGTGTCCGCGTTCTAGACAAGGTCTTCGTTTCATAATGCCTTTTTGTCTTTTACTTTTATTTATTACTTTTGGTTTCTTTTACCATCATCAACACCCTTTTTTTTTTTTTGAATTGGACTATTTATGACCAATTATAATACTCCATGTGTCATAATTCAAAATGGATTTAGAGAGAGCAATAAAACAAAGAGTCATTTATCAATTGAAACTCAAAATTTTAGAATTTCATACTGCAGCGATGGTATATGGATTTGTTAGATATATTTTATTTTGTAAGTTAAGACGTCTCCAATATTGTTATTCAGGACATCTTATCAAGTAATTATTTTAGTTGAGACCAATTTTATGACAATTATGTAATTTAGCTTTATTATCGGCGATGTTGATGAAAAAAATAAAATTAATCACGAAACAAACATTACAAAGAAGATTCTCGAGAGATATTTACACTGCTCAAAATTTCTTTTTATTATAGAATTTCATCAGGTTGAGATTCAGTTTTTTTATATTATAATTTATGATATATCTTAACATCACTTGAACCCTACATTATCTTATTGACAGTGTTTATCTCACAACAATTTTACAACACTACACCTATTTGTTCTTGACGTGAATATTGGGTGTTGTTGAGGTAGAGAGTCCTGTCTGTACATAACAAATCAACTAATGAAATGACGACCGCGACAGGCAGGCATGAAAATCCGGTCCGTGCCATCGCTACCCAAACACAAAACACCGAGTCATCGTATTTTTCAAAAATTTCGGAAAAAGCGACAGCAAAACTTAAATTTAACCTAAAACCAAAAAATCCCAACCCCGAAAAAAAAAATAAAAAAAATCTTAACAACCTCTGATTTCGTTGACTTTAAAATATTGTCAGTGACAATAAAATTCATTCACTGAGCCCCAGCAAATACTGCTGTGATTCTCAAGTACAACAATGATGTCACTCAGACTGTGAGACTCAGAGAGGGAGAGGGCCTATGAGATCCCTAATTCTCGGCAGCTCCCATTGAATGAAGAATTTACTTCGCCTGATCCAATTAAATGCAACAAGGTCGTAGAGACATTGATTTGTATGCAAGGAAATCTTTTCTCTCATCGAATAGAGTACGATACACTTAAACTAATCACCTTTGATTATTAGTTATGATTTATTTTGCACATCGTAAAATACATTACTTGATGAATCGCAAGTGTTCTTTTAGTGAAACAGTGTGACAACCAAACATATTTTACGTCCATAAGAACGCTCAGACTTTTCATGTATTTCGTGTCAAAAATTATTCACACACAATCTAACAATTCTCCTGACATTTTTGCTTAGTTGGGACAGTAAATTCAATTCTGTTACATAATATGTAAATATGTGAGGAAATAATGCTCAAATTGAGAAATTTGCTGATTGGGCGAAAGGTTAAACGACATAACAAACATAGTCCTTGAGAGAAAGAGGAGAGAGAGAGAGAGAGTGGTGCATGGTGTAGTTAGTTGGACTTGGGCAGTTACGTTTTGGTGGGGAGGGCAACAGTGTAATATTGTTAGAACTAATTTACCCAAATAATAGTACTTTAATATTATTTATTTATTTATATCCCATAATTGATAATTCCTTTTCCCTTGAGTTTTGCTTGCGTGCCCGTTCTCCGACCCCAAGACGAAGACGGCACTCACTCACTCTCTCTCTCTCTCTCTCCTCTTTCTCTCTCTTTCAACTTCTGTCACACACCCTGAGGCAAATCAGACACTAAAACACACACACACACTTTTCAATCTCTCTCTCTCTCTCTTCTCTGAAATCAAAATCCCTAACCCCAAAATGCCTCCTACGCCTCATCCGCCGTCGCATCACCACCCTCACTCTCACTCGCACTCTCCCCACCGTCCGATCGACCCCAAAATCTGGCGAGCCTGTGCCGGAAACTCCGTACAAATTCCCATCCTCCATTCTAGGGTTTACTACTTCCCTCAAGGCCACCTCGAGCAATCCTCCTCCTCCGCCCCTCTCCTCCTCTCCCCTCTCGTCCTCTCCAAGCCTCTCATTCTCTGCCGCATCTCCGCCGTCCATTTCCTCGCCGATCCCACAACCGACGAGGTCTTCGCCAAGCTCCTTCTCCTCCCCATCCCCAACCACGAACCCACCAATCGCCACGAGCCGCCGAACGACGACGTATTTGACGACGCCAACGAGACCGATAAGGTCGTTTCGTTCGCGAAGATCCTCACTCCTTCGGACGCCAACAATGGCGGTGGCTTCTCCGTCCCGAGGTTCTGCGCCGACTCCATCTTCCCCGCGCTTAACTACCAGGCCGAGCCGCCAGTCCAGACGCCCTCCGTCACCGCCCCCC